GAGGAGGAGGAGGAGGAGGAGGAGGAGGAGGAGGAGGAGGAGAAGAAGAAGAAGAAGAAGAAGAAGAAGAAGAAGAAAAAAAAGAAGAACATTGTTCTGGCATTTGCTGCAATAGACAAATGGTGTGTATTCTAAAAAGCTTAACATTTTGTGAGACTAAAAAAATGTTGACGTCAAATTTTTCGAAGATTCAATTATTGTTAATAACAGTCTCTTACTAGTTTCATCGTAACTTGAAATATCATTGTACTTACATTTTCATGGTCGATGATTCTCTGACACGAATAGTGCCATTAACATTGTACCCGACAAAGAGACTAGAGATAAAAAAAAATCGGGTATGTCAAGCTTGCTACTATGTCCCTTCACGCGCTTTTCATTTTACTCCTTCTTTGACATTGTCATTCTCCTCGTTTTCGTCATCGTCGTTTTCCTCCACATTAACTTTTTTTTTTACTTTGTAGAATGTTTTAAAGCCAGTTGTTTTCACTGACCTTCTAATTATTTATTTAAATGGCCTGATATGACTCAGTTTATAAAGTGTAGACTAAACACAGAGGGGATTGAGCGTTTAAAGCGTTTTACTTCCTTTCTTTTGCACATTCTTTCTATTATTAAAATATCAGTGTTTAACAAAAAAGAAGAGCTTCACTGAACAAGGGACATGTTTAAAAACCTCTCCATTCACCCTATATCTCTTCTACCTTAGGTCAGAAAGTGACGAAAGGACCCCGATCACAAAAGCAACTGTCGAGGAGGATTTGGGAGTTTCGTCCGTTAAGCTGTCCCAGAGTGCGTCAGGAAAGTTTGCAAGTCCTCAGAAAACAAAGTCTTCGTTCGTGAAGAAAACAGCGACCATTGATACACTTTCAATCCCAGAATATCAGAAGGGAGTCTTTGGCTTCATGAAGCGGCATAAAAAACAAATTTTCATCAACATATCTACCTTTTTCTGGCTAGGAGCTTTGTACTCATTTGAAGTCTACGTCCCGAATTTTGTTGGTGAGTACAGGGAGATTCTCATAGTTCTCCTATGTCAGTTAGTTAGCATTTTTGAGTTCAATTATGATTAATGTGTTACACCAGAAGCTTACTGATCAACAAAATATGTTTTATAGATGGGCATTGGAAATTGAACACACCCTTTCCTTAGAACGGAAGGAAGTATCGTTTTTGTACGGACTACGCTTCAACTGAATTCCCTTTTTTATAAATCCTGGAATTATCCATATTTGAAATAATACTATGGTGAAAACATGAGGACAGATTTTTACTTAAACATAAAAAACCATAAACTTTAATTTAGATAAATACATATACAAAATATTATATACATGTATATGAATATATATATAATATATATATATATATATATATATATATATATATATATATATATATATATATAAAAAAATATATATAATATCTATCAGCAAAGACTACTAGGTTGAACACATTTGTATTTAGGATACATGAGGTAAAAGCGAAACAAATGACGTCCCGTGTGACCCAGATAGCAAATCGTTGCCCGACGTTGTGTCCTTGGAAAAGACACTTTTCTTGAATTTTCCTAACTTCATCCAGGTGGGAATGGGTACCCGGCCATAGACAGCGAAAGATCTTGTCAATATGTTAGTGTTTTAGCGCCTATAAATGGCTACTTGCACTGTAAGCTTCCCATGGAGTTGAGCTTGATTCAGAATGCTCACAGGTCTGCTGGGGTAATAGAATAGGTTGTGAAGCGCATAGAGCTTGCTGATGGGCGGGGATTTGCGCTATACAAAAGCTATCTATTATTATTAAGAACCAACAGTCGTCTACTCCTGAAGTATAGCAGGTGAATGGAAAGAGGAAGGAGACTTTCAAAGCCCACTGTTTGCGTCGTGCTTTGTGAGGTCATGGTGATCCATGTTTCATGTTATGATTTTTCTTTACAAAATCTTATCCGAAATTGAAGAAGGGTCCATTGTTGTCACGTTTAAAAGAAAAGATTTCTGTCGTTTGTAACAATATGATGTCTGTAAAATGATATTTGTCGATTTTACAGAGCAGGGAAACTTACTTCTGGAGCAAACCTCGTTTCCCCTCATCTGTAGCTCGTTCACTTACGCTGACCGCGGCTAAAACTGGATAAAAACACATCGCTCTGTTTAATCTTTCTGGGTTTTTGAATGCGGGTCTAAAAGTAAAGCGACCAACAGAGTCTAAAAGCCCATTTATAAAAGTCACTACAAACTATGGTTTGGAAAGGTTTTTCTTTGATGTAAGCTTAAAACTGGTCAAAAGAATAATAAGGATTTACAGCATACACCTAAAATATTTAAAAAGTTGACATATTTTCCAAAAAGCCACTCTTCAGCGTTCGCCAAAGAAACGCGATTCAAGAGACGGGGTGAGTATTTTTCGAGACTCACCTGGAGCACGTGGAGACCTCTAGACAGCTGGGGGGGGGGGGATGAAAACGACAAGTTTACACTGATATATGGGGGCAGGGTGGTATCGTTGAATCAAAATGAGGAATTTGTTGTAGGCTAGGTTACTGTAAGTAATTTATTTTAGGGATCCTGTGTATGCATCCAAAAAGCAGTTTTAAATATAGGGCCCAAAGAGAAAAACCTTTTTATTACCAGGTCAAGATTTTGTTGAAAAATATTTTTGTTTGGTTGCTGGCCTGCATAAGTGCCATGCAAAGTTTCATGGGCAGAGGCAAATTCCTCAATAAGCTTGAATTTTTTTTGAAGCGGTCAGACGAAAGTGAAAAAGGTGTAAATATATATTGGGAGAAAAGTAGTTAGATGGTAGCTTTTGACACCCTCGCAGCCAGACAACAGTATCGTTATAGGGGGTGCCCACATACGCGTTCGGGTCGGGTCGGGTCTGGTCGGGCCTATCGGGTCGGGGTTTCAGTGCACACTACAGCCCGCCGCGATTGTACTCGACGACCTGGAAGTTAAAGTAGAGAAACCTTTAACCTATGCGACTACACATCCTAATTGCTCTTTAAGGTTTAAGAGAAAATTAGCATACTGGGCAAAAGGGTAAACTTTTGTGTTGGTGTAGACTAAGGCTCACGTGTTCTCTTTTTTTTTCTTCAAGAATCGGATCTGGAACAGAAATAAGTGCCCTTAAGTCGCAATGCTTTTCTTTGCTCGGATACTCGCCTAAACGATAAATTATCCCCTATCATGACGTAGTACATTATGATTTAATAAGACTCATGTTTTTTTTTTTTGTCCAGGTGTTTCTGTGTACGGCGGTGACCCAACAGCACGTGTCGGCACAGACCTGTATGGCCGGTATTTGAAGGGGATCGAGGCTGGGGCCACAGGAAGTCTCATTTACTACGTTTCTTTTACAGTGGTCACACTTTTCTTGGAGGTTGCTTTGAAAAAAATAGGTCAGTTCAAATCGTAGCTTATATTTTCTTATCAGTCAACCAACACTGCCCCCTCTCCCCTCTTCAAACAATGTTCTGTCTGTCTGTCTGTCTGTCTGCCTGTCTGTCTGTCTGTCTGTCTGTCTGTCTGTCTGTCTGTCTGTCTGTCTGTCTGTCTTTTCTGGACTATATCTTTTTCCTGACACACCCTGGGAAGTGGGAAGTTTTCGCTAGCACAATTTCAACTTCGGGTGGGGACTTTAATACACGCACATGTACTTAAAAACACAAACATTTCCAAGTGATATGTGAGAATATAACTTTAGCATTAGCTCTATTATTAGGTGCGTGGGCTTGTTTGATTATTGTTTTGCCGTAGTTTACAACTTGCTATGCACAAAGCGATTGAAACGTTATCAACGTTGGTTGGAAACTTGATCTATAGATGTAGTCGTCCCAATGAATATAAACGTGTTAGCACTACATAAAACAGGACACCTCAGGTCTCAGGTGAAAATATCCTAGTAAAAATGAAAAATTTGATCCTTCTTGGATTCGAACCCTTGATTTCCACGATAAAGTACAAGCTCGTAACCTTCTACTGCACTGTAGGTGTCATCCCATGCAAAGTTATTGTAAATATCTATTGCACATGTAGATCTACCACCTTCGACTCAATCTTGATCCTCTAGGACACAGGCTGCTTCGCCCCTACCTGTCAGAGACAACCCACAGTAAGCGGGATACATCCCAGCAGAAATACTAAAGTACTCGATAAATCTTCCTCACACGGCAATCGAACTCACACCCTCATTAGAAAGGGGCGAGTGTTTAAGGGGGGGGGGGGGGGGGTAAATTGACGATTTTTGGTCAATTTGTGGTATCTGGGCTTTTTACGTATTATAATACTCCAATCAATCGTAAATCTAAAAAGTGATTACTCTTTGTGTTACAATCATCATCTGTCAGATTTTCTGTCCTAGAACTTGTATTTTGCCTATTATGTAACAGTATGTATCTTTTTTTTCTCAAACTTCAAATTTTGATGTTTTTTCTCATCTACTTTTTTATTTTATTTTTGATTCCAATGAAATTTTCAGAGCTTGTTATTCATACCATAACCTAACTTTATAGAGGTGGAAAATGAAATCGATGAATTATAAGCGGGTTACATGGATGAATATGTAATCGAATTCAGAGGCATGAAGGTGTAGGTCAGTTATCCATCCCTAACATTTTTTCCTATTCAATGCAGCCAAGATCCCAACTGTTTAAAATTTGAACAAATTTGGTTGGTAAATAAAAATTCCTTTTAACTTTATGAAATCGGTTTATTTTCAATATGGCTGCCGTTACTATGGCTACCGTAGACATAAACAAACAAAAATTAAAGTTGCAAGAGATGTTTTCCTCTTATGCCTCCATGCTATAAGGCTTTATCTGAAAGATCATAGTTACCGAGATAAGTTTATAAACCACCCCCACCCCCCCCCCCTTAAAAAGTACTACAGGTACCACATATCGACCAATGAAAACTAATTAATGGTCTTAAGTGTTTTATCATTGTTTTGAGAAAATCACGACTGAAAAGAAATTTAGACGAGTTCTTTGTAACATTTATACATTGTACTCATGTTTCTTAATTTTTCTTGTTGTTTTTATGCAAGATGTATAGCTTAAAGTTACGACATTCAGTGTTGTAAGTAGTTAAACAACACTGTTTTATTTCCTAAATCTTGAAACTTGGAACACTTTTGCTCTCAGGGGTCGATATCTTCTATTGTTTTTCAGGTATTAGACCAATCATGGTGGTTAGTACTCTGGTCCTTGTTGCTCTGAGCTTGGGTGTGGCCATCTCAGCAAATATCTGGCTCTTTTATGTCACGTCCGTGTGGATGGGCATCTACAGGTCAGCTGTGATCACTGTGCCATATGTTCTGGCCAACAAGTTTGCTTATGAACAGGTTTGTATGAACAGTAACTCCAATTTGTTTTCACCACGTTTAGACCCGTGTAAAGTCTTCCTCCAAAGTTTTCGCTTTTGCTGCATACCACTTATGAAGCGAAGACTCCTGACACCCCCCTCTAAAAATAGTAACTTTAGACCCGTATAAAGTCTACCCTCCACAGTTTAAGTTTTTGTTTCATACCCCTTTTGAAGCGAAGATTTCTTACACCCCCCTCTCCCGCCCCACCTCTAAAAATGATAACTTTCATTTTCGCCTGTGCATTCACACCCGGGGGTTCAAGTTGGGGAAAAGTCAGGAGTGCATTGGGTTGAGAAAGAAGAAGGAAGATAGCGAGATGGACGGTAAGAAGGGAGGTGGGGAGTTTTTAGGTAAAACTGTAGTGCCATTACTTTAAAGGCGGAGGTCAGGTCAGACTGCAGTGGTGTACAGCCGTGGCATAGGGCAGCAATGCTTCTCAGAAATACAGAATTTGTAAATCAGAGGTAACCAGAGAGATGCAAGAAAACCAAGACAGTCAAATCCTGTGTTATACAAAGCCAACAGATCACATGTTCTCTGCTTGTGAAAAAAAAAACGACCACTTGAAAGTCACGAGCAAAAACATAAGAATGTTTAATCAGCGTAACGTATGTTAAGGCAGATAAGAACACCACTTAAGGAAAGCAAAAGTGTGTTATCGGTTCTGGCGTTTGTGCATGATCATCAAAAGTTTGTTATTTTTTCCATTCATTTGCAGCAGCCAACTAGGTGTATAATTTCTCTTCCACCTTAGAAGATCAAGATCAAGGCCGTCATAATGGACTTATTGTTATCATGATTGTTATCATCATGCTTGGTATTGATGGTATTAAGAATATCATTATCGTTGATATAGTTATCATCATCATCATCATCATCATCATCATCATCATCATCATCATCATCATCATCATCATCATCATCATCATCATCATCATCATCATCATCATTAAATAATAATAATAATAGTAAAAATAATAATGATAACGATAATAATAATAATGATAATGATTAAAAAAAAAATAAAAAAAAAAAAAAAAAAAAAAAATATAATAGTATAGTATATTATAATAATGGTAAAAATAACAGTCATAGCAATACTGATAATGATAATAATGATAATAATAGCGGAAGTAATAATAATAATAATGATAATAATAATAATTATACTACTACTACTACTACTACTACTACTACTACTACTACTACTACTACTACTACTACTACTACTAACAATAATGAAATAATTTTTAAAAATTAATAATTATTATAATAATTTTAAAAAAATTATAGAAGAAGAAGAAGAAGAAAAAGAAGAAATAAAAATGCTGTTAATAATAATGATGATAAAAATGATACTGATGATAAGAATAGAGAATATAATAATATAATAAAGCTGATGATTTTATTATCACAGATGTATGATGATAATACAATTCCTCAGCGATATTTAACAAATTATAGTGCGTGATACTGGTGATCGTTTTAAAATATTTATTCAGTAAAGTATCTTTAACCTGTAGGCTACCCCGCTCTTCTACTCGCAAAAAAAAGTGCTATGCTTTGGGATCTATATGAATCCCCAGGGATAACTTTTGGAGGATCTCTTCGCCCTTAGGTACGGTGTTCGCTTTTCATCAAAAGGTCCCGGGTTCTAAACCTGAGAGTGACAGAAGAAAATTGTCCCTTGAAGTTTTGTCCTTTGTCCTTCTTTTTTGTTCTCTACCCCTGTTGCGACATCTGCCGTCCTCTCCACCCCCCTCACGTCCGGTCCTCTTTTTGCTCCTCTTTCCTTCACTCCTGAATCTTTCTAATGCTACACCAGGCTCCTTCCAACTACTGTTTTTCTGTCACACCTCTGATCTATGATTCTTGAATAAGGGCGAACAATCTCGGAGGTTCTGTATTCAATCTGCGCACGTAAAATATCCCTTGGGGGTTTGAAATCGATGAAAGTAGGTTTCCGTCTCCATCTTGGCAAAATTAAAATTAATTCCCACCAAAGCTTAAAACACTCTTGTCAGTTAAAAACATGCAGAGTACCGTCAAAATCGAAATGTAGTTGCCGTGAAAAAAGAAGGTAAGAGGTTCTATGAAGTAAGAAGCACGGTTTCATATGTAAAAATCACTGAAATCTTAGCAAAGAAGAAGTTATCTTGGGATATTATCTTTATGATTGCATCAACTTTTCCTGTTGCAGAATGGCGAGAACGCCTCCGGAGTGGCCATCTCTATTGTAGCAGCCATGCTCCCTCTTGGCTTCACACTCTGCTCTGGCCTCATGGGACCCCTCATCAGCGCTACTGGTAACGCAGGGGCCCCCGTCTACTACACAGCAGTCAACGCTTTCTTGGGGACCGTTAGCTTCGCTTTCCTCAAGTTTGACGTTCCTGGCTAACCTATGGCATGGGTATAGCTATAGACCGTTGGTTAAAAAAACAAACAAACAAACATCCTTTCCCTCAACCCCCCTCCCCCCCCCAACAAACCCAAAACAATAACCCCCTAAAAAGCCCAACAAAAAAAGGACAAAAGCCAAACTGCTTTTTAAAGAATACCTTTTGATTTCATTGGAGTTGGACTTTGAGATTTTAAAACTCCATTGATCCACTCCATTGTATTCTCGTAGGGAATAGCATGTCCATTTTCTTATTAACGGGGTAAAATTCTCTGGTCTTTGCATGCGGGTCTAAATGTTGGATGACCAACATTTCCTAAAGCCGGTAAATGGAGACCACTGTACACTAAGGTCTCACCACGTTTCTTTGATGTTAGCCTACAATGGGTGAAAATATAACAGGGGAAATTACAGTATACACATAGAACACCAAAATGTTGACCTATTAACATCAACTTCATACTGAAATGCTTACCGAGGAAAAACGGCCCAACAGACGGGTGAGCACTTTTTGAGACTCATTTTAGGACTTGAAGATGTCTTCTTTTTTTAATTTTTTAAATTTCAAATGTTATTCATGGGAAATGTTTAAACTGCACTGTTATTTAGCTAAAATGTACTTTAAATTACAAAGGCAACAGTTTTTTCCCTAGCCTATAAGGACTAAATAACACCCTTTCAATGAGTGCATTAGATGTCTTGGTTGTTTTATTGACTTTTAAGTAAAGATGAAGATTTTGAGCTTAACACGCTATACGATAGACGGACCTACACGTAGCGCCAATACAATACTTATGAAATCAATCATAGGACAGTAAGTATGTTATTAGTTTAGTTTCTATCGTCCTTGGCTAGGGTGCTGGGAGAAGTATATAATCATATTTTATATATATA